TCAATTATTTATCAAATAAGTTTCTTATATGGCATCTGATACTTCAGAAAAAGTCTTTCCTGTAGTTAGAGACACCGAAAAAGTGTTTTTTATTCGATTAAAATTTTTTTAACTTTTTGAGATTTATTTAGCAAATATTAAAATAACAATTTTGAAAGTACTGTCATGCTAAGAACTGAAGAGATATTTTTCCTAGAAGAACAATAATTCATATGTAGTATAGATATTCGACAAATGTTGGTCGTAAGTGTCCATATTTGAATCTTCTTCTCTACGTTTATTCGATAGGTTTTCATAACTCAAGAATAACGCATCTATCCAGCAAAATACTTTTAATTTTGATTACCTTTTGATTCCCTTGGTAAAAGTCGTTTGACTTATATAATAATCCGCATTTTACTGATCTATTATCGAGTCCTCAGCTTATTGAAAAGTGAGCATTCAACAAGTATGTTTGAAATTTTGCTAGTCACAACAAATTAAATTGATGCGTCGACATATCAAACAGATGGTCAGTTGAGTATGAAAAATATTATTCATGCGTTGTTTAATGTCGGATTTATTCACAAGCATATGACTCATTCTATCGACCACATAAGAGCTTTTTCTTTCAGAAGAATCGATTAGTGAAATGTCATTTTATAATTCAATAGCAAATGATCATTACTGTTGACAGTTCTTGGGCAGGCACGAAAATCATATGAAAGATAATAGCGATTATCATAATCAGATATGAAATAAACGTGTTCAGATAGAATTTGTGCAGCGGCGAAAAGATGCTGAGTGTTTTGAATCAAATGTAGCCACCATCTGTGGAAAACCAAAGATGTTTCGTACATATTAATTTATAACATTAAATTATAATTTTATTATTTAGATAGATCGAAATATTAGGTTCACTGGTAAACCATATTTTATAAGACAAAATCATTTTTTTATTTATTTAGATTTATTGCAAACGAAGATTCGATGATCAGAATGATTTTATAAAATTCAATTATGTTTTATACTATAAAATAAATAATATCTACTGTATTGACTGATGATTAATGAAGACAAGATCGTACTTTTCTCACTAAAGAGGTTCTTCTGTTACATATGATGATAAACGAAGTGATATACAAAAGTGTATGGTCGAAATTCTAGGGTCAAGTATACGATCGTTTACGACAATCGTAATATTCCTTCTGGCTAATAACGAACACATGACAAAGATATGAGAATAATAAAAAAATCGATAAAGTGAACAGACTATAAAATAAAGAAATATAATTGATTTTGACTCAATAGAACGAGTTTTATTGTTTTTATTAATTTATATTTCGTTCAGACATCTCAAATGAGAAGACAATATCTCACTTATTTGAGAGTGATTTCTAGAAAAGTTCGGACTAGAGATAGCTATGCTGGTAGCTTATCAAGTGAGAAGTTAAGCGAAAATATTTATAGCAACATGAATGAGATAAATTGATTATAAAATAAGTGATATGTGAATCATAACTCCAACACATGTGAATCGATGAAAGGCAAGTCAGTGGTTGTGATTAAAGTTTATTGTTACATGCATACATCCAGCATAACAACTCAGGATCATAAGAAGTAGTAGCACTTCATCGATGACAGCTACCTTCGTCTAGCATAATATGTTGTAGGAATATGCTATACTGTTTTTTTTACTGGCCTATAGTTAGTATTTACCATCAATTAAATCATGTATGCATAAGTTGTAGGATATCTAAAATAAATGTATCATAGATATAAATTGAAAAAGAATAAAGCTTCGAAAGACAAACTAATGAATATCTAATATTGATTAATCAATCTTTGCATTCGATATTGATCATTCTCTTTGAGTTTTAGTTGATTATTTTCAGCGGATATTGATCGAAAAATATTATTTTCTACTTATAATCGTCTTTTTTATTAAAACAATTTTACAATTTGTAAATAAACTAGAAAAATATCCTTGTTAATTTCTTTTATGCATGAAATCTAATCTGTCATTATATTTGTTTCTATTCATCTACTACATCTTAAACAGTAGCATAAATAGGATCATTCTAATGACTGAAATTGCCTTGTCAAAAATAAATATAATTTCATTAATAAAAAGAATTTTTCATTATCTTCGTGTCGAAATAAACTTAGTATTCGATTTTGAAAAGGTAGTTTTTGTTTTTGACTACTTATCAATATTTACGATCAAATAAAAATGATTGTTTTTAAAAATTGTTGGGAGTATACGTTTTGATTTATGATACTGGATATAAATGAAGTTCGTTGAAATGAAAAAAAAGTAATCGAATATCGATTTATTCCCGGGCTTGCAAGACCGAAGCTCCACTTTCAAACGACTAACATTCATGAATCATCAACGTACAAAAAAAAATTTATAATTCTGTTGCGGTGAAACACTGGCTTTATTTTCTATAGCAGATTCAAAAACATCCTAATGCAGCGATTATTATTTTGATTACGATACAAAAAAAATAATCGAAGAAAGAAATTGTTAAACAAAGTTTATTAGCATTTTTTTCTGTAACGTTAAATGCATTGAAACACTTCAAACGGTGATTTTAGCAAAAAGTTATTGCCAATAAGAATATAGCAGTGAGAAAAAGCAACCACTTCGATTTTACAACAGAAATTTCATTTCAGAAGACAACTCTAAGCGATTTGGAAGTGATTTCTAAAAACATTCGTACTAGAGATAGTCTCATGAGGCATAAAGCTAAGTATCATAAGAAATAGTAGTACTGCATGAGAACGGTTACTTTTGTCCGAAACAGTATGTTACACGAGTACATTATGTCTTTTTTTAGTATTTTATAATTAGTATCGGGCATTAGTTGAATCAAACATACATAAATCGTTGGATTTATGACTATATTTAAGTTTTTTTCGACAACCTGTAGCTGATTTTCACACAGAAAATGCTATTTTCTCAATTCATTGACTTTTATTAAAACATCTTCGTTTACATTCATCTATTTTAAACTAACTAGTGGAATAAATATGATCATTCGAATGAAGGAATAAATACACCATAGGATATTTAAATATAATTTTCGTTGATAAAAAACAGCTCTCATGATCTTCTTGTCGAAATAAACTTAGTATTGAATTTTCTAAGGATGCTTTTCATTTTTACGAATCATCATCGACATTAACGATGACATAGTAATGATGGTATAAAAAATTCTCATGAAAATGTCTCGATTGTGCCTCATTGATATGTTTTTATTGATTGAATTGTTTTCTACATTTTGATTTTTACTATTCGATATAAATCGATAGAATTTGAACGAAAAAAAAAATCAAGTATCGAATTATTCTCGGGCTTGTGAAGCCATAGCTTCACGTTTAAAATGGTTTAACTCGAGAACGTGGCTCGATCGTTTACTATTCTTTTGTAACAATATATTACGTTGTTCTATATTGAAGTTGTGCAATATTTATTCTGTATTTTTTTGTTCTCTTAGATAAAACAATGTCATGACTAATATTGATGACTGATCAAACTGCCCAAAACTACAGTTGCTACTATGTTTTTGTGAATCAAAATTTGTGAATAGTTTTCGATTTGATGGGCAACAATTTGAAACAGCATTGAACTGATTTTACAGCAACGATAAAAAGATTATTTTTCATTTTAACATCGACGTTTCAATAAATTTATTATCATTGACGAGATATAATCTACAATAAACACAAAGATGTTTTTAGTATGGTAGTATGACAAACGTAAGAATATACTAATTAGAATGGTGAGACTATGGAGAAGATACAATGAGAATAAACTATAATATGAGATCTGTATATAGAGACCTTGAAAATTAACATGTTTGGGAATGGGAATTGTATAAATAAGATTAGATATAGGAATGCTAAAGCAGAAGAAGCTTTATAAGGAAGAAAAAGAGAAAGACATGGCAATAATAATAAGCTAGAAGACATCAGTAAGAGTAGGAAATTTTAATTATTGTCGCTTTTTGTTTTGTTTTAGTTCTTTTTTCATGTTGTTCTATTTCCTTGGACAACCTTCAGGGAATAACAGAAACGGAACTGAACGTATTGTGACATTCAGCTATAGCTAGAGATTCTCTTATACATAATCTATATGAATGTTTATCTTTCGTGAGTATAGATCAATTCTCCCAATCTATAATATGATTTGTTTCATGCATATGTCGATGAACTGCTGATTTTATATATGATAATGCCAGTTCATCCAATTTTGTTGATCCTGTGGTGTCTCCATTCACATCGTTACTACTATTGGGGACGAAACTTCTGCTAGATGTTTTAACTTTTGTTTTTCGGCGATGCAAGCTGAGCGTCGAACTCTCTCTTCGAAAGTCGGTACTAAAGATTGCGAAGCACCGTGCTCTTTCAGCTGTCTATACGTTTGTCTGGTAGTTTCTCCAATATATGTAGCTGGACATGAAGAACAGTTCAACTGATAAACTATATTAGATTGCATGTCTTTTGTGATTAGATCTTTATTCGGGAAGAATTGACGTACTGCCTTTGGTAGTCTGACAATCTCTATTATTCTTGTTGTAGGCGTGAGTGTGAGTGTGGGGTATGGATACTTAATTGTTCAACCACACCCATATCTACATCTCACACACTCGCAACACAGATATAAGAACGAGTGTCAGCAGGAAATAATCGAATCTGTTGCTGATCTTTCCTTACATGATACAATGGCATTTATCTTTTCGTTTGTATCGTTGCACGTATTCGATCAATGTTCAATTAAGAGTGAAATAGGATATAATGGATACTATTAAACTTTATATACTTGTTGTACTACAACGACGTAAACTATCTCTTTTGTCAACAATCCTAAAGAATCAAAGGCTTCTTCAGCTATCCTTATACCTTAATATTATATATTCATGAGAATGGATTTATTAAAAAATTAGTCTTTGTATTGTATGTAAATAGAATATATTTTTATTTTGAATGAGACAAAGTGCGATAATATTATTTGATTAATTTGAAGTTCGCATTTTAAGTATTTGAGCAAATTTCTCCAAAACATCAAGTGAATGCTTGCTTTTCTTTTCCATGACCTTCGATGTTATTGCATTTAGTGGTGCACCAGTTGAACTACTACTATCTTTATCACCAGAACAATCTTCTTCACCATTCCTTGGTGTTAAATCGTCTCCAGTTGCAATTATTACAACAAATATTTTTTTTATTTCTGCAGTATCAATACGATGTTCTATTGTTTGATGAAGCGTTTCATCATACATTTTTGAATATTCTAATTTAACTTCACATAAATCTTTGGATTCATGACCAATAATAGTTCTTATTAATGTTGTATAATCAATTGGTTCTTTATCTAGCGCTTGTCGAAGTATTTTAGCATGATAGCCAGATGGTGATCGTGTATATTCAACTATGTCTTGAAAACATTCAGCTTCAATTTTACTTTGACATTGATGTTCTATTGCTACTTGTATTGGACATCCGTATTGATCCTCATACATATCAAATATAGATGATAATTGTGCAAAAGCATCATGTGTAAAAATTTTTATAAATATATCATAATCAATAACAGGTTTACCTCCTTCAACAGCTTCAGATAATTTTTTAGCAATCAGTTTTGTTGCTGATAGTGAATGATTAGGTTCTTCATTACGTTGTCCTTCAAGTAATTGAATAAGCAATTTTGACATAATAGTTTTTTCACCTTGAACAACTTCGATATCTGTTTCAATAGAATTTTCAAATAAATTTTTATATGTCTCTTTGAATTTTTGTGTATCATCATTATCTAATGGTAATAAGATTTGCACTAACTTTCTTGATATGTCAGAATTACTTTTATCATTTAATTTTAATATAAGTAAATCATGAAAATCACGTACATATAATTCAATGGGTTCAATTAACATGGCTAATGTACATGAACGTATCGGAGATTCAGGTTGTTCAAGGACCATATCAATAAGATTATAATTATATTCAAATTCAAGATCATGTACAAGTATTAAACGTTGTGCACAATTATATGATGATAAAAAACGAAGAATAAAATTTAAATCTAATTTATGTGTCTTGACAGAGTGTGTCAACCTTTTCCATAGATGCAATGTAGTGTGTTTATAATCAAATCCCGTTGAATGACCATGCAAAGGAACACTCAGTCGTCGCTAGGAAAAAGTAGCTTTAGAAATATTTAATTCACACAAACAAATTGTTTGTAATTTATTACAAGAAAGAAATATATAACAAGACTTACTATTAAATTTTTCTCTAATTTTTTCACGTTACTCTCAGATGTTTTCTTCATGTTTGACTGTTGATATTTTAACAACAATGATTAAATAATAAATGAAAATTGCGATACAAATAAATATTTTATTCGCAATAATGATATTATTTATATATGTTTTCGATAAAGATAAATGTAAGTAACGAGAGTGAGTCAGAAAGAAATGGCCAAACCTGTCATCAGTTCTGGTTGGCTAATTTGCAATGTAATAAAAATGTGATAAATGTACATATGCATCATTACATTGACAAAGGGAGGCGCCCATATGAGTATTTTGATTATAAATTATGTTTTTTTTCGTTTTTTAAACCGAATATATATCATATTCTTCCGAGTTATGAGCATAATGAAACATCGAGAAAAACATTTATATAAATATATGTAAAATAAAATATTCTGAAACATCCAATGGATATATCTAATGAAGCTTTTAATTTAACATGAAATTAAATTTTCTCAAATTTTTACCAGAGAAATGAATAAATCTGGTATTGAAAAAATTTAATTATTTTTCAATTGTATTAGAATACAATTAGGCATTGAAAATAGTGATGAGTTTTTAATTATTTTCAATGTATTATTATCTGCATCTTCTACACATGTGACAATACGAATTTTCCGGTCTATCTATATGATTATGCTTATGCGTTTGTTTTTCTTTCATGCTCTTAGTTATGCATGATCGATTTTTCCTTTCCTGTCATATATATGTATAAATATAAACATATATATATATATATATCATGCCGAAGGTACACTGTTTGCCAAAGATATAACTTCGACATTTAACTTTATTGAAGTTATTTTAGATCAACTAAATACTAAATAATTATCCAATAATTGATGATATCATAATAAAAATGTATATTTATTAAAAATAAGTAAATTATTTAATAATTATTCAGAAAGATAAAAAATTACACCTGATTGATATTTACATATTTATTTTTCAATCCACACCACATTAAGTTCTGTATTTGATGAAAGATTTCTGAAGCATTATGGCTTAGATTTAAATCACAATTGAACTATAATTAAATAGAAAAAAAGTTCATCAAAAAAAAAAAAAAAAAATTAAATGTTTTGAAGATCATAGCTTACGCCAGGTCTAACAAAGACTTCATAAATTGAAGTTTTTGAGTACTAAAGAATTTTTTTTAGATTTATTTAATTTGTCTTTCGTAGTATATAATATCATTTGACTGTATAAGTAAAAGTCATGGCAAAGAAGAGCTATGTCACACCCTCATTTCTTTTTTCCTTTAGTTTTTTCTTCACTTTCACTTTTGAACAAACACTCACCTTATTTTCATCCTCAGTCTTCATATTTCATATTAAAATAAACACTAAAATCCATAGTAACGTTTCAAAACGTTTCGAAAAATAAATTCTAACAGTTGCCCACATTATATACATAAATTTCCTGTAAATCGATGCCTTAGTGCTCCAGAAATTTTTCATCAAATACAGAGCTTAATGTGGTGCGGATTGAACAATAAATATGTAAATATCAATCAAATGTAGGTTTTTTATCTTTATGAATAATTATTAAATAATTTATTTATTTTTAATAAAATTATACGTACGTTATGAAAATGCAAAATTAACTATAAATATACATTTTTATTATGATATCATCAATTAAACTGAAATAACTTCGACAAAATTTTATGTCGAAGTTATAACTTCGGCACGACATATATATGTACAACATGTTAAGGATATTTAAGAAAAAAAAGATTTGAATAAAATAAAACAAAGCAAAGCTTATCAGAACGAGCTAAGAGATACATTGAAGGTGGCAAATCAACTTAAATTAGCCATTAACACTCGTACTTGTGTCCTATGGAGAGCACGAATGGTTTTGATGCGGTTTCAGCAAACAATAATGATGATATTGCAAAATGAAAGCAGAAAGAGTATAAAATATGCAGCTACATAAGTAAGGACTAACTGGTCTGTTATTGCCGAATGCGCTATCGATATAGACTGGTAGCAGAAAAAGAATTGTACCAATAAAAAAGCAGGCATCTCCGAGAGCGCAGAATGTGTCCATAAGGAAATATAGCATATAATTGAGTAAGTTGATGAAATGAAATCGATGATCATTTCGGTTGGTTAGACTTGTACAGCCTAAGTTATAGATTTTCCAGCTTTGATATACGACCACAACGATCGATCCTGATAAGAACAACCAGAGACCTGTGACAACATATCTCTCCAAATCTAATATGAATAAAATCGAACCGGCAACATAAAGCACTGATCCATCCACATGCATATAGAAAACAATTAATCCCTATTTCTGCTCGTTGTATATATCCTTGTATCGCTCCTTGTTCATAGCAAAAGAGATCACCATTATCTTTTTCGTAAGCATCTTGGTATTTACCATAGCAAAAACATCCGATTCAGCAGTATCACCACTCTTGTAGATCATTCAGAACAAGTAAGAATGAACTTAAAGTGTAGAGCCAACCAGCGGTTGTTGTTGTATTAGGAGCAATGTTTTAGTGGATCCAAGTACAGGATGGCTCCGACCACAAAAGCTAGACATACTATCATATAGCTTGTATCTTGAAAGAGTCGCCACACAAGAGAGTGAGGTCTATTTAGAACGTTTTCTTCAATATTTACAGTTGCATTTGTCTACTCCTTTATATTTATAGACAACTTTTCCCTACCATTGATGGTGCAAACTCTTTTCATTTCTTTTGAATGATCCATTCACAGAATCATCCATAGTTCTATATAGAAGAAATTTTGATCCGTACAATCTAAAATTAAATTCAAAAATTAATGCTCTTGCCGTTATCAAAGCAAAATATCGCTCAATCAGTCAGAGCTATAGTTATTAACATAATTGGTAGAACATAAATGTACTTACAGAGTGCTGTTCTACAGTTTGTAGGTTAGTCTGAATCATGATTCTTTAATTCTTTCAGAACTATAAGATGACTTTCATAGATTCAGATTTTTCACGCTAAATCTGAAGTAAGTAGTTTCGAAATCCTACACAAACAAACAACAAATGATAATTTTCCAATTATCGATAACTGATCTTCTTACGTTAGAACAATTTTCTCTGTTGGAATCACTATTTCAATTATTTTTAGTGCTTCATGTTTGGCAAAAAAATTGAAAATGAGCCTTATTGGAAAAGTTTTGGACCGACTATATCTTAAAATCATTCGTATTCAATTGAGAGCATGACTTATAAAATATTCTAACTGTTTAGAAAAATACAATTTGAGTGTGTTTATTATAGAAGTTTTTATACATTTATCTTTTAAATAGCGTGCTATACACTTTTATTAGAAACCAACTTGGTTTCGTTAACAGTATTAACCAATTAAAACACATTATCAATAAATTTGATCTATTTTTTAAACTCTGGAATATCTACCTGAGAAAAAGTTTTAATGCTGAATACGTGTTGTTATTTAGTAAATGGCTCGTTTCTTTTTTATTTTCTACAAAGCTATCGACACATTTTTCTTTCCAATAAATGCTTGTTTTCAGCATATTTTTCACAAGATTAACACCAATTGAATTGTCCAATGACAATTTTCTGTAAATATCTGTAAATAAAAAGACATTTGTATGGTTATGTATTCATTACGATTGATACTAGAAATAAAGAACCATATATAGAAAAATAGAGATTTTTCTCTTACTATACTAATGATCTTAAAATGATTCTGTGGATTCAAACAAATGTCTTATAATATCATTGAATGTTAAATAAAATGGATATTTTCCTAAATTCGATTTCACAAATAAAATACAGATTTGTATACGATTTAGTCTAGAATAATATATTGCAACAAAGATAGCAGTGAAATTATTACAAGAATTTTACACATTACAAATGATAGCTTTCGGAAAAATTTTTGCAAAGAGGTCGAAAAGTTTCGGTTTCATTGGATCATCATTCTGATCAAAAGACCAATAAATAACCACACGTTCAATGCGATTTGATAGCGTTCTCAAACGTTGATCATTCATAAATAATGCACTGAGTTCTTCTCCTAGTTGTAATTTATCAGCATTATTCATTCCTGGCAAATATAATTCTCTAATATTCGATGCTAACAATAGCCAAATAATTAGTGTCCTTCCATCCAATCCATTCCAATCTGATGAACTCATTTTTAAATGTTTTATACGAGATAAATATGGAGTCATTACTGTTGCATTAATTAGCTAAAAATTAAAAAGAAAACAAGAATGTATATGAACGTACGAAGAAAATTAACTACTGACTTGTTCGTAAAGTATATGCGGACACTCGAATCCCCAATATTTGAATTCCATATATTCGACACAAGAACAAAAAACTTGACTTATCAAATGTAAAAAATCGAGAAGCACAGGTTGTTGATTACTGTTGATGAAATAGAGTGAATTCATCCGGCTAAAGTAAATTTTTGTTGAATGAAAATTTCCTTTATTCAATGGCCACATGTTTGGATTAATCGACAAAGTAAGAGAATGTAGCGAAGATGAACAGGGCATCGAAGCTAGGACTCTATAGTTATAATTATCGTCATACACAAAGACTGGTGGTCGACAATCATCAAGCCACCAATCACTTTGAAATTGATGCAATTGTTCAGTCATATCGATGTCTTTATGATCATGATAATATTCGATAAGAAAAGTGAG